CTACATATTTTGGATTAATTTAATGAGATGTTCAGTAATGAGGTAGAACTGCTTAAGTACTGGACTTAAGTACCAAAATGGTACTGTATCTGTACTTTATTGGAGGATATATTTTTTTCCCTACTTTTACTTTTACTCCCATACATATTTTTGATTAATTTAATACTTTTAATTTTACTCTACTACATATTTTTTATTAATTTAATACTTTTACTTTACTACATATTTTTGATTAATTTAATACTTTTACTTTACTACATATTTTTTATTAATTCAATACTTTTACTGTTACTCCACTACAGATTTTTAATAATTTGATACTTTTACTTTTACTCCACTACATATTTTTGATTAATTTAATACTCTTACTTTTACTCAACTACATTTTTTTAATTAATTTAATACTTTTACTTTTATTCCACTAAATATTTTTGATCAATTTAATACTTTTACTTTTACTCCACTACGTATTTTTGATTAATTCAATACTTTTACTTTTACTCCTCTATATATTTTTGATTAATTCAATACTTTTACTTTTACTCTACTACATATTTTTGATTAATTTAATACTTTCACGGGCTGAATCGTTACTCGTTACTGATAAAAGTAATGAATCATCCCCAGTCAAAGAGTCAGAGCCAGAGCTGTAGATAGCTCTGTCAGGGTTTGGGAAGCTGGCTCCTCGATTTGAGAGATCAAGCACAGCCCTGGAAAGAGGACCACATCAGTACCAGTACAGAACCCAACTCTGAATGTTTAAATCCAGGCCGAAAACGTTTCTGTTTAACTGTGCATGTGGAATCTGAATGTATTTGATATCTTTTTTTATATATAACTTATTTTGTTGTTTTATTTTCTTTCTTTTGTTTGAATGCTATGAAATTCTTTGTAAAGCACTTTTGAATTGTATTGAACGTGAAATGTGCTATACAAATAAATATAACAAATAAATAAAGTAAATAAATAAAATAAATAAAATAAACAAAATAAAACAAATAAATAAAACACGTAAATAAAACGAATAAAACAAATAAAATA